CAAACTTCAGATTTCACTTGGTACACTCTATAATACTTGGATCTTTCTAAATAAGCACATCATAATCTTACAATGCGAGAGTTATTTTAGAAATTTAAATATATCACAGCAAGAACATTCACAACAGCCAAAAGATAGAAGCAACCCAAGCGTCCATTGATTGATTGACAAAACATGGTGTTACCCATACAGTGGAATATCATTCCGCCTTGAAAAGGAGGGAAATCCTGACACCCGCTGCAGCATGGACAAACCTGGAGGACATCATGCTCAGTGAGACAAGCCAGTCACAGAAGGACAGCTGCCCTGTGATTTCACTTCTATGAGGTCCCGTGAGCCATCAGGTCCACAGAGACAGAGAGCAGAGGATGGGCACTGGGTGCTGGGGAGGGGAGCGGAGTTAGTGTCTAATGGGGACAGAGTCTCAGTTTGAGAAGAGGACAATGTCCTGGAGATGGTGGTGGGGACAGCTGCACAACAGCATGTATGTCCTTAACGCCACTGAGCTGTGCACTTAAAACGGTTAAGATGGTCAGTTTTAGGTCATGTGTATTTTACCACAATTTCTAAAAGCTTTAATGTAAAAAGTGGGCATGGAACTATATATTACATAAGAGTGAGTGGAATTCACAGGGCTTGCTTGAGACTAATCCCAGGCTGGAGGAAGAACTAACCCGGTGAACACATCAAAGGGACGGCGACACCCCGCTCCCCTTGCCCAGAGGGGGACTGCGACACACACACGGCCGCAGAGGAAGGCACACCGAGCCTGTGGCGCTCACCCGGGAGGTAAGTTGAAGTGACTTTTGTTTACTTCTTTCTGCACACCTATCGCCCAAGTTTTGCAGAGTGGCCATTTGTCATTTTACAACTGGTAAACAGCACAACAAGTAATCATTTACAAATTGATCCCTAGTCAAACTGATCTGGAAATTCCGGAACGGCATCGACGGAGGAGTGCACACACGGGCGGCAGCGGAGCGCTCCACCTTACACCGGAGAGGCCGCATTCAGTGCAGCTCGAATCCACACATGGCACACGGTTTGCCGTCTGTCCTCCATCACCCCATTTCACACAGCTCTTTCTTGCGAGTTGGCACTGCTTTAAAGCTTTTTTTTTTTAAAGATAGGGTGTAAATAATAAATAAATGAAGAGAGAGGTGTCTTTTCTATGATAAGCTTTTACCAAATGAACATCTGCCGTACACATTGAGTCAGTAACTCAATTTATTGAGCACTTCTCTGGGGGCGGGTATGGGTGGGTCTTCCTGTGGCTGCATGTGAGACAGTGTCACAAGCTGGATTCGATCATGCTGCAGAAGGACAGAGCCTTCTCGGCGTCACATGGGAGCTCCTTGCCCTTCGCGTGACCACACGGTGGCCCTTCCAGGTACCAGCCCTCAGGGCGTCTGGGATAGCCAGCCGTCCAGGCTGACCATCCTGAGGGCACGGCAGCCCTCCACCCCTCCCTTCCCACTCTCTTGCTGTCACTTCCAAGGTGCAACTGGGTTGGTGCAGAGGACTGCGCCTAGGGATTCTGTGCTCACGGCACACTGAATCCACCTGTACATTCCACAGGGACCGCAGGCGGGTGGCCAAATGGTAGGGGCAGTTTTTCAGGCAGTGACGTGAAATGGCCCACCCGGTGTCCGCTGTTATCGAACACCAATTAAACCCCAGTGCACAGAGTCCAAGAGTTATTTTCAGGAAGCCCCTGGACTGCAAATTTAGAGGAAAGTTGGCCTTTTCTTTTCTCGTTCTTTTTCATTAAATATGTAAGAAGAGAAATCTTTACCCATCCTACACCGGCTGACACCCCTGCCCCTCAGTGACCTTTTCCACTCTGCCCCCTCTAGAGGCCAGGAACATACTTTTGTACACACTAAGCAGAAAAAGCTGAACTTGGGATCTGAATGCTTGCTTGAACTGGAGTCCAGGAGCAATTAGCCAGAGTGACAAAGCAAATTGTGTTTAAATCTAAATGTTCTACGATTGCCTCTTCTGAGCTCCAACTTCGTCTTAAGTGATCTGACAGTGGGGGTGAGTGCCATCATTTATACTTTTGAGCTGCAGCTTCTCATCAGGAAAATGAGGTTGAAAATAATACTGCCTTATAACGGTGACATGAAAATCAGATGAGGCCATTTGTGTGGAAGAATCCATTGGTTCATTCACTCAGCAAACACTTTGCCAGGCACACGCTGGGTGCTGGGATGGGGACAGTGACAAGGAGGCCATGTGTCATCTTCCTAAGCTGATGGTCTACACGGGGGGGGGGGGGACAAACATTTGTCAAACAATTGCACAAAACATGTACTTGCAGACTGTGAGATGTGCTCGGGTGAAGGCACAAGGTTCCAGGAGCCTCTCCTCTGCGGTGGGGTAGCAGCTCATCTTGCTGAGAGATTGAACACTTCAAAGAGACAAGCTGAAGTCTGCCAGGGAGGCTGAGTGGCCCCAGCTGCTGATGCTAACACAAGACACAGCAAGACAGTGTCCCCCTCACAGAAAAGCACCCTGTCACCACCTCTGAAGCCTCGTTGCTGAACAGTTAACACCATGGTCAGACCTCTGGGCTGGGCTAGCTCCTACACTGCAGGCTTACAGAAAGTACAGAGCACAGGAAACAGGAACCAGGGACATGCTATCATCAGGATGCACCAGCAAAATCCAGAATGTGAAAACCCCACGAGACAAGCAAAGAAGAAGAGAGAGAACCCTTGTGAGATCTAAAGGGGCTGAACAGACAGACCCACCAAGGCAATGGCTCTTCTTTTGAACTTCAAAAAAACCAACTGTAAAGAAAATTTATGACAACTGAGAAATGTGATAGCCGATTAGATCACAACACTAAGACATTACTATTAATTTTAATGTGTGATAAAACTATTGTGGTTAGGTTTATACAAGAGTTCTCATCTGCCAGCAATACAATGATGAAACCACTTGATAATGGGGAGGTGGTGGGGGTGTAGAAGTGGCAGGAAAGGCCAGGAGCTGCCTTTTGCTGAAGCCCAGTGATGCCATGCCCAGGGTTCATTTAACAATACTCTATTTATTTTGTGATTGACATTTTACATGTCTCCTTTTAAAGCATAAAGTGCAGCTGGGAAGACAGTATACATGAAAGGATGACCAACATCGCAAGTTAGCACAGAAAAAAACTGCCAATGAAATTATGCAGTTAATAAGGATCATCGGAGAATGGAGATCAAAGAGGATTTTCCCAAAGACCTGTGCCTCAGGGGACATCAAGAAGAATGGGAAGGTACCAAGTGACGGGGAGACAGAGGCTCCTGAACACTAGCAGACACGTGGAGCCGGTCGTATTCTGTGAGCACACCTGGCTCTCCAGTGCATTGAAGTCTCTTTCGTAGAGGCTTCCCATTGCCAATAGCTAGGACAGAAGTAGTTGATAAAAGGGATTGTTTTAAGTTGTGGGAGATGGGAAAGGAGACAGAGAAGGAAGTGGTGGTTACATAAGCTGGGGCAGCCAGCAGAAGACGGGAAAGGGGCGGTCAGCACCATGGAGAGGGCCCAGAAGTCCCAGCAGAGGCCACTGCTTGGCCACCACTCAGTGGCTGGCGGTGACTTTCTGCAGTGTGCTCATAGCAGACGTGCCGGGTGACACTGAGCCGGGGAAGATGGGAAAGGCAATGACAAGGTGAAGGCCAAATTGGCAGCCGAAAGCCACTGGCAAAGTCTAGGGATTATGGGAGTTGCAGAAGGCAGCAGGGCCAGTAAAAGGAATTTCTCACAGCTGCGCAGGAGAAATACCCCCAGAGGAGAACATGTTGGAGAGAGAGGTGCCCCCCCCCCAAGCAGCAGCCTCCTGCAGAGCAGTGCCAGACACACCAGTGGGTATTTATGTGCAAACAATTCGTAGGCAAGCGCAGTCTTCTTTCTCATACAGCTTTCTTTCCCAAGACAAGAAGGAGAAGAAAGCATTAGTAATGGCCACACACGCTGCCTCCCTGTAATTATAACTTTGTTTTCCTTCCATTTAGAAGGTGCCATAATGGCTTTGTGGACCGAGAGAGAGAGAGAGAGAGAGAGAGAGAACAAGCAAGCTACTTAGCTGAAAAGCAGCAATATGTAGAAAAGAAGGCTGTCAGAACAAATCCAATTAAGGCATCACTTATAGAAAATAGAATGCTAACATTAATGTGATTCTCGGTCAATTAAAAAAACCTGTTATCTGCTTGATTTTATTATTTGTATATCTTCAAAGAAGAAATCATATTTTATCAGAATCTCACTTTCTATTTTATGGTCTTTGAAAAAGGCTGCTAGAAGATAAATACAAGGGACCCCTCTGCACCTGACAGAGGCAGAGGAACCAGTAAGTACCGCATCCCTGTGGGACGGCCACAGCGGGGCGTGACTCATGGAAGAGCCCTGAAGCTGCCGTGCTGAGGCTCAGTCACTTTGAAGGCCCCACGGCGCCTGCACTGCATCGTGAGGGGTATCCGTGTCAGACTGGGCTCTTCTGGGGACAGTCAAGCAACAAAAAATATGTGAATGTGACCCCGAGTCTGACCATAAGGAGTGCTGGGGCATGACATATGCTGAATCCAAAAGCGTTCATGTTCAATTTTCCACAATGTTCTGTGGCCAGCATAGTTTGGGGTCAGACTTGGCCATTGTTCCTCAACGTGTTTCAGCGTCTTCATCAATGATGAAAGAAGCGGACTCTGAGAGGGTGAGGGTCTAAACACTGTGGCTCCTTCCACCCCAGGAGGGCCCTTTTCTCCCTTCAGCACCACGGCTGGATTCTCTTGGCATGAATACGACCACCTTCTCTCCTCAGAGCACCAGAGGCACAGGAGGGTGCCCGAGGCCCTTTCTCTCGCTGCACTGGCTGCAGCCATGACCTAGGGGGCAGCACTGATGCATCAGAAGCCATTCAAAGGATGTGTAGAGTGGAAAGGACTGGCCCTGGGCAGGGGCCAGAAAGACAAAAACAACAAAAACCCGGGGATTGGTGGAGGCTAACTTACCATCGCTCATGGCCTGGGGCAGTTTGGGGTCTCCTGGAGGCGAAGGCCACTTCCGGGGTTCCACCGGCGCCGAAAGGACCCTTGGTGTTTTCCACGGTGCATGCAGTGGGTTTCGTGGCCACGGGTCACCTTCCCCGTGGGGCGTCGGGGGCTTCCGAGCTGCATAGGCGCCCAGCGCAGCGATCAGTTTCTGCCTATTGACGTTGCCATCCACCTTGGGGCTGAGCTCGTCAGGCTGCAGCCTGCCAGGGGTCCGCAGCGGGCGGCCCCCAGGGTAGTCTGCCCCAGGGCCAGGAGCATAGGTCAGAGCAGACGTTTGCTCCATGAAGGTCAGCATGCTGTCAGCAAGGGGGTCCTCACCCTGCAGGAGCCGAAGATCAGAACAATAGCAGGTGAGTCTCCATGTCAGCCAGTCGAAAGGACATTTGACCTCAATTTTCAAGGCACGAAACAGCACCGACATTTCTGAAATGCACACCCAAATTTTCACTCCACTGATAGACCGAGTTCTATGGCCCATATTTGTATTGTTGTGGTTTTCTAATAGCAGCTTTATGGAGATATAATTCACATACCACAAAATACATCCTACTCAGTGTTTTAGTATGTCCAGAGTAGTGTGAACATCAACAGTGACTTTAATTCCAGAACGTTTTTTACCACCCCGACAGGAACCTTGTGCTCATCCCCATTCCTCCTCCCCGAAGCCCTAGGCAACCACTAATCTACTTTCTGTCTCTATGGGCTGGTCTGTTTAAGACATTTCATATAAATGGAATCGCACAACATGTGGCCTTTGTGTCTGGCTTCTTTCACTTAGATGTTTTTGAGGTGCATCCACACATCAGTGCCGCATGCCTTCCCACAGCTGGAAAACACTGTTTTAAAGACGCAGTAAATTTTGTTTATGCATCAGCTGGTGGACATTTGGGTGGTTTCTCATTTTGGGCCATTATGAATAATAGTGCTATGAACATTCATCTACAGTTTTGGGGGGACATATGTTTCCAATTCTTTTGGGTTCATGCCTGGAAGTGAAATTGCTGGGTAGTATGGTAACTCCACACTTGACTTGCTGGGAGCTGCCCGAATGTTTTCTAACATGGCGGCACCGTTTTACATTCCCACCAGCAACGTGTGAGGAATCCAGTTTCCACAGCTCCTCGCCAACGCTTGTTATTGGCCACCTGTTTCCTTACAGCCATCTAGTTGGTGTGAAGTGGTAGCTCACTGGGTGTTGATTTGCATTTCCCTGATGGCTAATGATGTCATGGACTCCTTATCTTCCTTGGAGAAATGTCTGCCCAATTCCATCACCTGAATTGGTGTTGACTGTTGCAAAAGTATCTCTCCATCCACGATTGAAGCACCTATATTGCCTGTCTTACCGTCTTTATTTCACGACAACTCCTTTCTTTACTGATTATTGGAATCACCTTTATAGCCTATTCCTTTAACAGCAATATTCTGAAACATCAAAGCTGCCAGGCTTTCTCTTAATTATATGTAACATCAAATCCGTGGCCTGACTGACATGGTCTTTCATTGAGCCTCCACCTGTAAGTCCCCCTTATTCACTGAGCCCATTTTCCCGGGAGGAAACAGACTGTTTTGCCACTAGATGCCTCAAGGCCCAGGTGTCCTCCCCTCTGGAATAGCTACAAAAGTGTTAGAAATGTCAGTGTTCTACCTCTGTGGAACCGTCAGAATTTCATGGACAAACACGGAAATTTCCAACTTGGAGGTTCTCAGAAAAGTTATGGCTGTCCTTGAGGCTTACTCCGAGCTCCCTCCATGGTGTGGAATGGGTCCACGAACCATAAAATTTTAAAATCTTGCCCATTCACATTTTCTAAGTGCACCTCGCTTGGGGCACAACATCAATGTTGAGTCAGTAAGGGAGTAGACCTTCGGATCTAGTTAAGATGTGCAGCCATCACTGAATTTAAGACAAATGGTTCAGACTCCCAAGTCTGGCTATTTTCAAAAATATTTGGGTTCAGGCTTCCAGGATAGACTTTGGTGTAGCAAGCCAGAAGTCAGAAAACTAGGGTTGATAAGGGTTCTAAGTTGTTGTTCTCACATATGAACTTGGGCAAATCACTTGACCTTTGGAGACTCAATTTTCTGTCAAAGAAGGAGACTGGACATTATCTCTAAGATTGCTTTTATTTCTAAAATGATGTGATTTTAGCTGTCATCCAAATTGTTTAATGTTGTCCAAGTACTAGCTGAAACCAATTGCTTTTCCTTTAGAAAAGAGAAAGGAAGATTCATTAGAGAAAGGGAGAGAAAAATAAAATGCTACCACACAAATAGCCCCTCCAGCATTTTCCCACAAATTGGGTGTAAGTGTCAATCTTAAGCCCAGGCTGAACTCCCGTTCAGAAAGGCTGTCTCTGAACACCTGGTCAGGTCATAGTGCTGGGGGCTAGGGAAGGCATCCAAATGCCTCATTAATGTGCCCACAAGCCTCTCTCCTCTTTTTGCCATGAATGCAGCCTAACCGAGGACTTCTGCTCAAAGAGCCTCTAATTACGGTCGAACTGGAAAGCCCCTGGTAAAGAACAAACCAGGCTGAACACAGTGCACAGTGGATCACTCCTGAACGAAACCTGTGCAGTGGAATGGGATAAACAACCTACTTTGGGTCTGTTTATGCTGTGAACCAAATTAAGGGAAAGAGGGAAAGAGAATATTTCAGTAGGTAAACTGTAGAAATCATAGAAAAGCATCAGTTTTTACAAATCATCCCAGGTCCTCTGTAAATGAAGGCCAGCATGATGGTGTCCTCAGGGGAGCTCACTGTGGCCCAGGCGAGGGTGCCACCGAATAACCAGGAGTCCTGGGAAGTGGGAGATCGGCAGGAAGTGTATTCTGGTGGCGGCTCCTTCCGCGTGGCTTCAAGTCTTGAAGGAGAGACTAGTAGGCGGGGCTGGATTCTGGGGCAAGGCTGCCTGGGTTTGGCTCACACCTCTGATCTCACAAACCTAGTGAGCTTTGCTTTGGTGAAGTATTTAATCTCCAAGTCATCCGTAAAACGGGGATGATAACACTCTGCTTGGCACAGCGTGTTAATGGCTACTGCCACTAGTATCGTTAGGGTTATTATCTACTTTACCTCCTTAGGCCTTCATTTTCTTTAAAGCAGGAGGAAGGCCACAGATGAACTGAGCATAAACCACCCCCCCCCCCGGGGGGGGGTTTAGGCTCAATTCAACAAACTTAGGATGTCACGTTCCCTAAAATAATGCTGAATAATTTTTAGGACTTTAGTCGCCCCAATCCGGAAATTAGCAGCCTAAAAGTCTAACAATTTGCCACTGCCCAACACATGGTGTGGCCAGTTTTGGTACATTGGTTCTTGGTACACATGCTAGAGAAATCTAGTGTGGGAATCCCTGGTATGGTAAGTACACTGTGTACGAGGCATCTGAGAACTGCCACAGTTGATAAAATTTACCCCGAAATTCCATTCCTCCAGGCACATTCCTTAACCCACAGTGTGGCCACATGAGAAGTAGAGTCTGCTCACCCGCTCACCCACACCTTCTACACTGGATAAAACCACAGGGAAAGAAGGCTCTTTGGGGAGACTGGCCTGATCCTGTCAGCACAGCTCTGTGGAACCTGCACAGCTTTGGACAACCTCCTTGCGCTTCACTTTTACTACCTTCAAAATTAGGAATATAGTTCCTTTTTTTCTTAAAGCAGGTAAAAGGATGAGAGTAAAAAGGTGAGTTAAAGTGCTCAGCACATGGCTCAGAGGAGATGTTTGATAAATGGTAGGCGGTCGCATCACGTCTATCACCATGATCCCCACCGACATCATCATCACCATCAATATCGTCACTATGAGCATGATCACCTCCCTCACCACCGTCACCTCCCTCACCACCGTCACCTTCATCACCGCCATCACCATCCTCACTGCCATCAGCACATCCCAAGCACCAGTGATGCGGTGTGCCAAGCTCTGGCCTACATTCTGTGGGGGAAGACTGTCTCAAACATGGACCTGTCTTCAAACAAATCGCAGACTGCAATGGGGGTTATGTCACAGATGTATGTAACTATAATTGAAAGCATATTATTAAAGAGGTTTAGTGATACCAATTTGGAAGGAAGAGGGGAAATCAGGGCTGCCGCCTGGAGGCAGCTGACACACTTCCTAAGAGCCGCAGGCTGCACTGCACCCCTATCTGCCAAACAATGAAACAGCCATGGATGCTCCCTATACCCCCAGCCTCCCCAGGACCAGGGGACCAGAGCTAAAAGCCAGGCCTCCTTCCTCTCATGGAAGTCTGCCCACTCCAGCCCCAGACCGTAAAATTAGGAGTTCAGACTGCCAGGAAGGCCTCGGGGCCCTCGGAGCCCCACGTGCAAACAAACACTGAGTGGAGGAGACTCATGTCTGCACACTGGCCACTAATGCTTATCAGATATTCTCTTATGCCAAGGATCCAACACAAATTAGGAAACTCAAATTGGGCCATCTTTTGACCACAGAACAAACATTTTCTCCAGGTTGTCTCACAGCCTGAAGGCAGCATTGACAAGCACATTGATCAAGCCATGCTTACTGCCGGTGACGAAACACACAGCAATGGGGCTGTCCACAGGCTTCCTGATGAGATGACCCCATAATGCCATCGGATGTGGCCAGATCTGGGAGCCTCGTAGGAAGCCTCCGCCTGCAATTCATTAATGTAGAGATGGGATTACTTCTCTGTGCTTTTCTGTGCTCAGGCCATGGAGGATGATTCGGGGGAGTCATCAAGTCTCTTCCTCTCCCTCTATCTCTGTCTCTGTTTCTCTGTCCCTCTCTGTCTGTCTCTCGGTTTCTGTTTCTTTCTCTATCCCTCTCCACTCCTCTCTCCCTCTTTCTCTCCTTCCCTCCCCCTCCCTCTCTCCCTCCTTTCTTTGCCCACTTCTGCCTCCCTCTCTCCCTCCGACACTCCCCCCTCCCTACCTCTCAACACAGAGAGAAGGATGTCCTGCCAAGGTGTTCAGGCTCTAAGTGTCCAGCCTGCCCCGTGTGCAGGGAATAGGTTGGAGGTGTCATTCTTACTGACGGCATCGTTGCCAAGACAAAAGAAATGTTTGCCTTCAGGGGAGCTTAGGGACAGACACTGGTCTATCTTTCTTTGCAGCTGAGACGTAGTACTTTCAGTTAGAAAAACCAGTCTCCAAACACTTTTTACAGGGTTCACAAAAGCTACGTAGTTGAAGAGATGTTAAGTTCTAAGCTCAGGATCAACGAATTATGCAAAAAGCTGACAGCAACATGAGGTGTGGACTGTAAGTGAGGGATATCTACAGTGATACTGCGCCATGCTAGCTTGGAATGGCTCTAGAGACAGCTGACGACATGAAGCCAGCGCCAGCGCCTCGCCTCTCTATCCCCCCCACATCGCCTCTTCTTTCTGTCATTTCTGCTGCACCTGCTGTCCTTCTGGTCTGCACCTTGTCCTACAGCCCCAGACTCAGCAAGTAACAGGCACAAGGAATGGACTGAAGCAGAGACTTGTGATCCATTTTCTACCCATGTTGGATAAGCACCAGGCATGAAATCAGAGGCCCACTGGCTAATACAACCACCAGGAGGACATCAGGATCACAATCACAAAACGGGTCCTGTTTTCTGAGTGCTGGTGCCAGGCTGTTCTTTGGTGTTATTTCTTTTTGATCCTCTCAAAAGCCTATGGTGTACACCAAACTACAGCATTTTTTGGATACGAAGCCAACAGAGTTCTGGCAAATGAGAACCAAGGCTGGGACACGGCCCTGGGCGTCTGGCTTCAGGCTGCGCTATAGAAAGGAGCAGGCTCGCCCTGCAGTCCGTCTGCCGCTCCGCAGAGTTTGGGGGAGTAAACTCGGTGGGCTTGCATCTGGCATAAAAAATAAACATGAAAAGGCTGGGCAAGAATCTCAGGGTTCCGATTTCAGTTCTACTACCAAGTAAGTGTTTAAAGCAGGCATTTCACTCCATCTTTCTCAGACTCGGTGTCCCTCTCCAAACTGAAGGTCTCAGGGAACTTCTCATCCTCATAAACGTGAGTCTACAGAAAGCACAATGCAGCCTGACATGACGAGGCTGTGGCTTTTTGTCCGTCTGTCCCATCAGCTCCAAAGAGTCCCGATGGAAGAGGTGAACGTCTCTCAAGAGTGCCTGAGTAGCTTCTCACACATGGTGACGTGAGATCAAAAACAGAAAGAAAAAGGAGAATGCCCATACAGAATGCAACACTAAAGAAAAACAACGAATAACGACTTCTCACAAAGCTTCTTTGTGGCTTCCTGTGTATGTCTACACAACCACCTCTCCTACCAGCAAGCCAGCTGTGCAAGGGCAAGGCCGGCTGCAGGATCTGGCACGGGGCTCAGCAGGATGGAAGGCAGAAACACGGACCCAGGAGATAAACAGGGCAGGGGTCTGGGAGGGATTGTCGGTGCGTGATCACTCCCCGTGAGGTCACAGATTGATCTCCAGCCCTCGCGACCGTCACACCTCAGATGCTCCGCCTACTGGGTGAGCAGATGAACAAGTGAGTGACACACAGGCTGGTTTGCCCACGGAGCTCAGCCCCAAGCTGACTGGAGCCTCGGTAAGTGGAGAGGGCTGGGCCTACCAGGGAATGGGGGGTGGTACTCACAGTAACTATGATTAACCCCTTCCTGCATATCGGGCACAAACCCCAAGAACAGCTCTACCGTACGATCCCAGCTTCCCACTAAAGGCCAGGAGAAACAATAGGTTGAGAAGGCAACTTTTAGATCAAATGAGCATCACAGATGTGGTTCAGATACAATGTCGTGGCCACGGTCCTCACAGCTCAGCACCTTTGCACGTGCTATTCTCAGTGGAACAGCTAAGAAGAGGGCAGGAGGGAACCTGAGTCACCAAATTCAATTTCCTCAGGCGGCACCTCTTCAGAAATGGAGGAGAAGACGGGCTTGCTGGTGGACGCCTGGCTGCTTCCCAGTCCGGGGCTGTTAGGAAGCTGCTGCCGTGGGCAGCTGCATGCAAGCCTTCCTGTGAACACATCGTTCCCTTCTCTTGTTACGTCACAGACAGATGAATGTTCGATTGTAAAGAAACTGCCAAATGGTGGCTGTAACAGTGGTATCATAGTTATTTTTTTGTTAATTTTCGCCCATCTAATGGACACAAAGTAGCAGTTCCTCAGCATGTTATGCTGTATTTCCCCCAAAGAATAATCATATTTGACACCTTTAATGCCCTCACTGGCCTTTGTGTATCTTTTTTAATAAAGCGCTAAAAACTTTTACACATTTTGTGTTGGCTTGCTCATCTTTTTCTTTTCCATCTTTATTAAGGTGTGATTGACACACAATAAATAGTACACATTTATGCGGACACAACCATACACCTATGAAGCCATCTTCAGCAACGAACATAACTGTCACCCAAGAAGTGTGCTCGTCCCCTAACAGTTCCTTCCAATTGCCCTCCACTCCCACATCGTCAGGCAACGACAGATTTCCTTCTGCAACTCATACACTAGTTCATATTCTGTAAAATTTTGTATAAATAAAATTATAAAAGTATGTACTTTTTTCCTGTCTTTCAGTCAGCATAATTATTTGGAAAGTCACCCATGCTATGGCATGCATCAGTAATTCATTCATTTTTATTTCTGAGTAGCATTCCACTTTATAGATCAAACCCAGTTTGTTTATTCATTCACTCGTTGATAGGCATTTGCGTTTTTCCAGTCGTTGGCAATTACTATTACAGCTGCTATGAATATTCACATACCGTCTCCGAAAGGACAAAGCTCTGATGTATCTTGGACACGAGTGGGATGGCTAAATCATGGAGCAGCATATGTTTAATTTCTTAAGAAACTGCAAATGCTTCCAAAGTAGCTACACTGTTTTACGTTCCCACCAGCGGAATAGGAGAGTTCCAGTCCCTCCACGCCACTGCCAACATATGGTGTGCTCAGTCTTTTAAATTTCAGTCATTCTGGTAGGCATGTGATGGCATCTCCTCATGGTTTTAATTTTTATTTCCCCGATAAACAATGATGTTGAACATTTTACAATGAGTTTATTTGCCACCCATTTATCTTCTTTGGTGAAGTGTCTTTTCAAACCTTTTGCTCAATTCTTTATTTGCCTCCTCTCTTTCTTTTTAACAAGTTTTGAGAGTTCTTTATACATTGTAGAGAAAAGTGTTTTCAGGTGTATTATTTGCAAATATTTTTTCCCAGCCTGTGACTTGTCTTTTCATTCGCTTATCATTATCTTTTAAAGAAGAGAATTCTTAATTTTTATGAAGTCCAATTTATCAATTTTTTTCTTACGGATTGTACTTTGCTGTCATAGTTATACATCAGTATGGGGGACCTTAACACTTTTGAGCCTTCTGACACACGATCATGGTATATATATATCTTCATTAATTTAGAGTTTCTTTACTCTCATCAATGTTTTTTTTTTAATTCTCAGTGTACAAATCCTTACACATATTCTTAGATTTCTCTCTAATTGCTTCACAATCTTGATGCTACTGTAACTAACTTTTCAGAATTTTAATATCTAATTATTTGTGGTTATATAGAGAAATATAATTGATTTTTGTACATTGACTTTGTATTCTATGGCATTACTATGCTCACTTACTAGTTTTAGTAGCTTTTTTGGTAGATTCCATCAAATTTTCTGCAAAGGTGGTCATGTAATCTGCATGCCTTTTATTTTTTTGTCTTACTTTATTGCACTAGCTAAAACCCCCAGTACTGAAGAGGCAAGAGCAGACCTCCTTGTCTAATTCCAGATTTTAGGTAGAAAGCATTCAGTCCTTCCTCATTCGGTGTGATGTTAGTTGTAGATTTCTACCATGAACTGATGATGCCTTTTGTCAAATGCTTTTTCTGCATCTTTTAAGACTATCATATAGTTTTCCTTTTTCTTGTTAATATGGTGAGTTACACTGACTAATTTCATATGTAAACAATCTCCTTATATCATCATGTATTATGCTTTTTCATATAATGTTGGATTTGCTTGCTAAAATTTATCTATAATTTTTACTTCTATATTTCTGAGGAATAATGATCTAAAGCTTTCTTTTCCTTTATCTTTCTTTGTATGATTTTAATCCTTTGCTATTTATTGACTTATTTTATGGTCCAGCACACGATCTATATCGGGAAATATTCTATGTATACTTGAAAATAATGTATATTCAGCAGTTTTTAGATACTATCATTCTATCAATATCAATTAGGTTAAGTTGTTGATGGTATTGTTCAAATCTTCTATATCATTAATGTTATTTTACCTATTTGTATAAGAAGTTACTGAGAGAGGAGAGTTAAAATCTCTAAAAATGATTGTAGACTTGCATAATTCTCTTTTTAGTATTCTTGCATTTTTGCTTTATGTATTTGAAGTACTGACATTAGGCTCATAGAAAAGATTTTATGTCATTTTAATGAATTGATCATTCGGTTGTTATAAAATCCTCTATCTCTGATAATGCTAATTGTCTTGAAGTGTACTGTGATTAACATCATCACAGCAGCTTTCTGATATTTAGATTTTCCACTGTGTGTATTTTCCATACTTTTACTTCCAACTTATGTATGTCTTTCTAATATCATGTGTTTTGGCTTTAGAATATGGTTATCTGTTTTCTGTTTTTATTAATTTGAACATCTCTGGGGGTGCCTGAGTGGCTCATTTGGTTAAGTATCTAACTTTTGGTTTCAGCTCAGGTCATGATCTCTCTGTGTCAGCACAGAGCTTGCTTGGGATTCTCTCCCTCTCTCTCTGCCCCTCCCCTGCTCATGTGCATGCGCACTCCCACTCTCTCTCTCTGTCTCTCTCAAAATAAATAAATGAGTTTTTTAAAAAGTTAAAAAAATTGGACATCTCTGCTTTTCATTTGGAGGGCTTAATCCATGTCCATGCTACAATTATCAGTATGGCTGGACTTAAGTCAACTTTCTTGATATTTGTTTGATAGCCCGCAAGGTGGCAAAAACGTCTGCACAGCAGCTTTGAAAACATCTGATTATGTATTTCCTGTGCTTTATCCAGTCTCTGTTCATTAGAGAGAGGACACTGGACCCAAAAAATAACAAGTTCTAGGTTCTCGTGCAGTCTTTAAGACGGAGAACCATCTATCTCAACATAGAAGAAAAAAGCCTAAGCCAAAAATGCCACCAAGTGCTCATGTTCTGAATCAGCTCGTTACTGTTGTGCTGGAGTGGCTGCATGGCAGGGGGGCCGCAGGGTCCAGCACCCCACCCGGGACGCGTGTGAGGGAGAGGCCTGCCCGGAAGAACCACAGTGTGTGGCCATCTTGCCGGGGGCGGTTAAGGACTATGCGAGTCGTGCTCGGCAGACGGAGTCAGACGGATGGAGTGTGTGGGGATGCGAGCACCACACCCTCTCTCCTGAGATGGATGCCGGTCGTCCTGTGCCTCCGAGGGCCCCAGGGTAGAGTCACAGGCACTGACCCCACAGCCTCAGGGCTCTGGAAGGTCACACATTCGTGCAGAATGGGGAGGCCTGTCCAGATGCTCAGGTCAAGTCACCAGGTAAGTGAGCCAGAGCTGGACGGACTCTGCTGCGAATCCCGCTGACCAGCGTTTGGGGGCTACAGACTCACCCCCGCCCCCAACCTCAGGCCCAATAGGACACTGGGCGGCTCTGGCAGAGTCACTCACCCACCCGGGGGTCACACCCCCAACCCCGGCTCTGCCACAGCTCCCCTGCCCCCAACACTGCCGGCATAGACCACGTGACAGTCTCAGAGTCCCTGATGTCACACTCTTAGGTTACCCCACAGCAGGTGCGGACAGCAAGGCAGTATGGCAGAGGACCCAGGCCGTCCACACCCGTCCTCGTCCGAGGAGCAGCAACTTCGTGCGGCTGAGTGAGGAGACGGCCACGCAGGAGGGGAAACATGGTGCTGGGTTCAGGATGAGCACGAGGCCCCGCGGCACCGGCGGGCGGCTGATGAAGCTTCGCCAACACCCTGGGCTCCAGCTTGTGCGCCTTCCTGCTCCGTTTCTGTCCCCGGCGCAGAAGGCCGCAGACTGGTTAGGGACAGGAGCCGCTTCCCAGAGAAACGTCGGCAGGTTGCTTTCAAGCTTCTCCTGGGTCTCGGGAACTTGTAAGGACCGTCTTGCCCTTCCCGCCTCCGCAACCATCTCTGGGTCCCACACCCAGGGACGCGACGCAACGTCTCCATTACGGAAGCCAAGGCTGAGCATGAGGCTTCATGTTCCTTTTGATAAAGACACATCGGGGGACAAAGGAGGAGGACAAACGAGTGATCTCACATTTGTGTGTATTCCAGTCTCCCATCCTCGGGACTGGGAGAAGCTGGTTTCCCCGGCACCGTGGAGTAAGTCAACAGGTGAGTCGCTCGGGCTCTGGGCGCTCTGCGGGGCTGGGCACGGGCGTTGTGAGCTCAGCTGCGGTCTCCTCGGGAGACAGGGCTCCAGCAAGAACCAGCAGGCAGTTTCCAGACCTACATTCACTGTGTTTCTGCAGACAGGTTAGGACTAACAATGGTAACTACTACTGACTGAGGCCTTTGCTGTGAGCTCTATGTGCATTGTCTCGCTTCTCCTCACAGTGACTCTAGGACCGTTTTACGGCCCAACTTCACGGCCAAAGACCCTGAGGGCAGAGAGGCTGAGCGGCCTCCCCGAGGCCACACGGCACTGGTGGGAACTGGTTCTGAACACCCTCCAGGGTGTCCAGAATCTCACCCACCATGTCTGGCCCCTGGCCAACACCCAGGAAAAGGTCCTTGACAATTGTACCTCTCACTCCACGGCATCCAGCTGAGCATCTGGCTCATAGAAAGTGCTCAGTCTCAATAAATGAATAAAAAATCAGACGGGGTTACGGCCCACACTGAGAAGCCGGCCAAGGGTCCAGGCGGGAGTGGGACTGGCCGATTGCGGCGTGGGGGCCGCCCTGCGTTATCTTACTCTCTCCTGCTAGGGGCTCGTCTGTGAGGACTGAATCCGTTATGGCAAATGCCACGAACTGGGCAAACACATTCCCACGATCCAGGACAGAAACGTGACTGTGCAGGAGCTCCCAGCAGCCTCTCAAAGTGGCCTGGGGGCTCTGGAACCCCATGGCCTCAGCAGGCGCCCTGGCCGGTGCTAGGACTCCCCACAGGGCCTTGTATCCCAATGTGACTGTGAAACGAGGGCTGGACAGTGAAGGACCTCGAGGAGGGGCTGACACAAGTAACAGGACCCTAGAGAAGCCCGGACGACAGACGTCCTTTCTCTGGGGGCTCTGCCCGTAAGACGCAGAACTGAACCAACCTTGCACCTCGCCCACACCTAACCTGACCTCACCTTGCGGGGCCGCAGCACCAGTTCTGACGTGCCCGCTCAGAGTGCACTGCTGTCCTCAGGTGACTCGGGCCTCATCAGCAGTGTGCCCTCGAAAGGACCTTGCATGGGCGCCGCACACAGTCTCAGCCCAGGGCGGGCTTTAATCACTTCAGTGGCTTCTTGACAGGAAAAGAATTGAAAAGGGGACACACGTTGCGTCCCCCGTATTTTCTGGGGAAAATCTTCTGAGGAAACCCCAGCAGAGCCTCAGAGGAAAGGGACCTTCAGTCATGCGTCACTCATAGAAAGGAAAATATGTCAGAACCCAGTGGACATAACTAATGTCCAGCAAAAAAGTGTGCACATCACTGCCAAAACCCAACATGCCCACGATCACCCTGCACTTCAGCACTTTGCCCAAACCCCCTCCTCGGGATGCGTGAGGCCCCTGGTTCTGACTGTCCCTGCTCTCCCCAGGTGAGTCAAAATCTGGTAAGTCCAGTTTAACAAGTAGTCATTCTTTTCCATCCAAACAGCTGACATTTGTGATTCTGTTTCTTTAAAATGTCCTTTTGAGCATCTCAGAATGGCTTGAGGGCATGTAGTGTCGGTAGAAAATGAACTTCTACCCAAGAGCACGGCGCCTAGACCCTCCGCACCACACAGGATGCCCACCTAGGGCAGGCGAGCCCAGGATGCAGAGGCTTCCTGAGAGGCAGGCCTGGCAGTGTGACCCCAGCACAGTCCTGGGCTCAAGTGTCCCTTGGGTCCCCCTAACCCCAGCACAGTCCCGGGCTCACTAAGCAGGATGGGGGCCCCCCAGGGCCCCCCTGACCCCAGCACGGTCCCGGGCTCACTCACCAGGATGGGGTGTCCCCTAGGTCCCCCTGACCCCAGCACAGTCCCAGGCTCACTCAGCAGGATGGGGGCACCCCTGAGTCCCCCTGACCCCAGCACAGTCCCGGGCTCACTCACCAGGATGGGG